GTGTGAAGAGTTTTATGTAAAAAAAAAATATATGATGCCATGTGAGTTTCTAAACAGCCAGTGTGAACTTAGCACAAACTTCTTTGAGCGGAATAAGCCGCAACAATTACTCTGTTCCATATTTAAATTTTAAAAGTCGACATAAATTGGCGGGATACTAAACTGTTATGTACCTGTGACGGAATAAAAAAAATCTTATAAGTAAAACAGAGCAATCTAAATTAGAATATTAAAAATGAGTTTAAGCGATTCAGAAATATTGACACCGGATTCAATTAAAGAAGAGGCAAATTGTGTTATAGAGAATCTTTTGCCAGAAATGTCAAAAGAGGATATATGAATACATACAATGATTTTATAAAGTGGCGAGCAGAGAAGAATATAAAATCGTTTCCCGAAAGTGTATTTCTTACATATTTTAATGGACTGTCTTCTTCACTTCTTCTTCAAACTTCCAGGGAGTATCCGCCATGGAATCCATCGTTTGATGAAATAACAGAGTCTCCTACTTTTACAGATATCCAAAACAGTCAAATTTGTAATAGTATATCAAAAAGCATAAACATTCCAAATAAGAATGTAATTTTAATTTCACTAATTGTCCTAATATGATAATTAATTTTAAATAGCTACTTCTAATTTTATTGTACCTATATATATACCTATTTATGAATAAATATTTTTGATAAACAACTAGTTTTATTTTCCTCATATTCGAAATGAAAAGTACAGTGTTTAACTCGGGTAAAAGAATCAATTCCTACTCGGACTATAGCCGCCCTCGCTGGGCTCGGGCGTCTAAATACCTCGGGAATTGATTCTTTCCACCCTCGGTTAACAATCTACTATTTCATTTCTCATTCTCGGAAAGTGGTGTTGTTTTGATCTGTTTGTTGGGTGGAAAATGCTGCTTCCCTCCCTAGAGATGGAAAAACTCATACAAATTACTTCCCGCCTAAGGGCCGGAATGAACTTTAAAAATAGAACTACTGTCAGGTGTGAAGAGTTTTATGTAAAAAAAAATATGATGCCATGTGAGTTTCTAAACAGCCAGTGTGAACTTAGCACAAACTTCTTTGAGCGGAATAAGCCGCAACAATTAGGCCGTATACAGAAAGAAAGCCGAAAGCCGATCGGCGCTTATCGGCGCCTATCGGCGCCGATCCTTCCTACATAAAGGAAGCCGATTAAAGCAGATCAAGCAAAATGTCGGACTCATCGGACGATGATTTGGTTTTGTTAGAAAATGTTTATTTAAAAATGCGAAAAACAGCTATACATCCTATAAATAGAGAAAGGAAACGTTTCGGAGAATACCATAATTTATTTGTAAAAAAAATTTAAATTTGATGAACAAAGATTTTATACATATACAAGAATGATTCAAGAAACATTTTATTACATTTTGGATTTAGTGAAAAACCGTTTGATGAAAAATTGGGGCAATTGGCATAAACAACCAATCCTTCCAGAAGAATGACTTGTTGTCACCATTCGGTAAGTACGAAACAAATAATTTTAGCGCTTAGTTAATAAAAGATAAAGTTATTAGATTTATAAAAAGATTATAACTTAGATTGATTTAATCTAAGGAAAATAATTCAAATACAAATTATTTATTATTCGGACCAGCGCGAGTCGGCGCTTATCGGCGCTTATCGGCGCCGGTCCATAGAAAAAGGATCAGCGTCAATAGGCGCCGATAAGCGCCGATCGGCTTTCTTTCTGTATACGGCCTTAGGGTGCGGCCAGAGTGCACTCAGATTCAGAGTCAGATTCAGATTTTGAAAACAAGCGCGACAAATAAACAGTGTAGTCTAAGCAGGTTGCCTGCTTTTTCTCGCGCTTTGTTTTCTGAGTCTGAATCTGAATCTGAATCAGGAGTGCAATCTGGCCGTACCCTTCGACTACACTGTTTATTTCTCGCGCTTGTTTTCAGAATCTGAATCTGACTCTGAATCTGAGTGCACTCTGGCCGTACCCTTACGCTGTTCCATATTTAAATTTAAAAAGTCGACGTAAATTGGCGGGATACTAAACTGTTATTTAACAGTGACGGAATAAAAAAAATCTTATAAGTAAAACAGAGCAATCTAAATTTGAATATTAAAAATGAGTTTAAGCGATTCAGAAATGTTGACACCGGATTCAATTAAAAGTTTATTTCTTACATATTTTAATGGACTGTCTTCTTCACTTCTTCTTCAAACTTCCAGGGAGTATCCGCTATGGAATCCATCGTTTGATGAAATAACATAGTCTCCTACTTTTACAGATATCCAAAACAGCCAAATTTGTAATAGTATATAAAACAGCATAAACATTCCAAACAAGAATGTAATTTTAATTTCACTAATTGTCCTAATATGACAATTAATTTTAAATAGCTACTTCTAATTTTATTGTACCTATATATATATATATATATATATATATATATATATATATATATATATATATACCTATTTATGAACAAATATTTTTGATAAACAACTAGTTTTATTTTCCTCATATTCGAAATGAAAAGTACTTACAGTGTAAAAGAATCAATTCCTACTCGGACTATAGACGCCCTCGCTCGGGAATTGATTCTTTCCACCCTCGGTTAACAATCTACTATATACTACACCTGCTCGGAAAGTGCTTTATTCTTGTATTAAAAATGAAGCAGAAAGAAAGAAAAATAATTGTGTTTGAGACAAAACAAAAGTAAAAGAATATATAAACAAAACACACTCATCTAAATTGTTTGTCTCAAATCGGTCTCAACTCAGCATGATGCTGATGTTGCCGTCAGCGCTGGTCTTCCATTGGAACCGGTTCAGCGACGACGCGAAACATTAACATAAACAAGCAATAAAATAAACATAACCAAAATAAAATCCTCAAACGCACTACAAAGAAAAAAAGTACGAGTAACGACCGACGGTCAGCGCTGACCGTCGGTCGTAGCTATGTCTATGCAAGTCTATGTATGCGCACACAGCTACGCTGATGGTACGCGCGTGATTTGGTACGCGCAACCAAGCCGTCGGTCCGGATCGTCGGTCGCGCGTACGTCGGTCGACCGACGAGCTATGAGATTGTATGGATGCGTTCAGTGCTTCACTGACGGAGCGACCGACCATACGCGCGTACGTACACTTAAAGCAAAAATGAATATTAGTATTACTGAAGTGCTGCTTCGTCCGGCAATAGGGAATTTATCGTATGTATTTTAAAAAGACAGTGATACTAAAATTAGTGCTTAGCTAGAAGTTTGTAAAGAATTAATTGCTCAAAAAATAGCCTGCACATATTGCAATAAAAGGGTTCATTTTTCTCGTGAACTGTACACACGCGTCGCCGTTCGCCATCAGCGTAGCACTGAATGCATTTTCGCAACCGACGGTCAGCGCTGACGGTCAGGACGTACCATCGGTCGAGCACTGTTTCCAGCCTAACAGTCGGGACGTGTTTTTTGATTTTTTAAATTTACCTTTTTTGACACTTTTTAGTTGGTATTACAAGATTTACCATCTTGTAATAACAACTAAAAAGTGCCGCAGTCTTGTCATTTCATTGAGGAACTTAATATCACGAGGCTTTATAATAAGCTTGCGGTGGTCTAACCGACACATTAATTAACCTACTAGTGGATAAGTAGAATGCCCGTGACTTCGTCTGCATCGAAAAATTGGTTTTCCATACAAACTTCTACCCCTCTTTTCATTTCTTAAAGGATGGTTTCTAGAATAAAAACTATCCTTTGTCCTTTCCCGGGACTCAAACTATCTCTATACCAAATTTAATCTAAATCGAGGAGGTAACAGACAGACAGATATACTTTCGCATTTATAATATTAGTACGGAAGTATTGATATGGATATAGACCTTACCCCCAGGGTCAAGGCTACATTATGGGCCTCAACTTTCGCAAAAATGTGTGAAATTAAATCAACTACGAGTAACAACAAAGTAGTACTTATTAACTTATGTAGGTACAGTATAAACCGCAGCACACTATCAATGGCAACATTTGGTTATAATTCACCCTTACCTCAAATTGCATGAGATTTCTGTTTTTGAATAGCCTTATCGACAAATTAACCATAAACAGCATATGGTTCCATCTAGTCCCTCCGAAAACAGACCACTCAATTGTTCCTACAAGTCTCATTGACCCGTTGATGAGAAATTGTTTTTTTTTCGCCACATAACTCGAGATCATAAAACGATTGTCAAATATAGACCGATCCCTCCAATTTAGTGTTAAGTGTCCAAAAGTTGTTGCTTTCACCTATATATTATATAGCTAACTAGTTTTAAAAAACGAGCGAGCCCTACAGTAGTCGCGTATGATGTGTAACATTTGAAACCTCACCTTATATTAGTAAAAATATAAATAAAACCATTTGAACATTATGTTCTAAAATCAAATCAAATAGCGCGCGCTTTCGCTACTTCCTGTTACACACTTCCGTCCCATTTCACGAAATCACTCCCACAAATTGCAGGAAAGCGAGAGGAAAGATGTTACACATCAAAAATAAATTATGAAAAAGGCAATATTTCAATTATATTGTTTTTACAGCATAATATGACATAGATGGATATATTTTTAACATTTCGGTTGACGCCCGGTATCGAGCTCCATTGGTCGCTCTTTTGGTACGAGAAGTACATTATACACTTGCGTTATCTATTTCGATCTATGTCTGTGGCTGTTTCACCAGTAATCTTTCTATGTATACTTACGTTTAATTTATATCAGTTAGGATTTAATATTAACTGAGACGAACACCTTACGTATTTGCTTTTTTAGGGCGTGCGCTGCCATAAGCATCATTAATTTCATATAACATCGCTGCGGAGAACCGCCTCGCGCAGCGCTGCTCTGTGAAATAAAATGAAACTGCACGTGGAAGGAATGTCCACTCCGTGCTCTCGCTTAAGGCAGCGCGTACCCTTAGATTGTCGATTGTCGAATAAGTTCTGGGAAAAAAGGCAAAACAAATGGAAAGCGAGTAATAAAAAAGAAACAATATATTCAGGTAGCTGCCTATTTCTTAAAATTACAATTGTCAATTGTAATAATATTACTCATGATAAAGTGTAAAAGTGCCGAAAGAATTAGAAACAGTGCAACTATGTTTATCACAAATCCTAATTCTGCATAGCCTCCACCTCGTTTTTCGCAATATTTACAGAAATGGCCGTGAGATCGTTTTTGATGTACTCCTGAAACAAAACAAACGTTATCAAGACTGGAGTTCTTTACGTTTATATTATGTAATCACAAACAGTGAAATTTCTACATAATGCCGGAACTTCACTTGGCTATTCCTATTTGCTATTTGTAAACTTGACAACAGTCTGCCTTTTTCATGCTCTCTGGAATGAAAAGGACAGAGTGAAGACAAGTTTACAAATAGTAAACACGTATATCTAAGTGAATTGCCGGCATAACAGGTAAAATAATGAAAAGTTATTTACTTATTTCTTATATTTAGATGCACACAAATCATTTAAAACTTCAATTCAGTGATATCCCCATAGAGGTATAAGAATAGAGTGGGGAAGGCGACTCTAAAAGTGTCGGCTTAGTTGAAAGAGAAAGATGATGAGAGACCACTAGCTATCTCTCTCTTTTGTGACGCATGCGCAGTCGTCTGTCCAATAGTTGGTCCAAGCATCACATCGAAATAGTAAGATGCTTACGTTGCCAATGCGCATGCGCGATTAGAGAGAGAAAGCTAACGGTCTCTCATCTTCTTTCTCTTTCTATTAGAGGGACACTTCCATTTGTAGTAGTCTATATCTCCCCTACTCTATTCTTATACCTCTATGGATATCCCACGCGTGCCTATATCATCCTTCGTTTCGTTTACTGCGCCCCGACTTGCACTAACTGCACAGCCGCCTGCCATTATGTTAAAATCGCATTCTGATGATGATGCAGCAAGTGTTTTGAACTATTGATTGTATCGATACCTCGCAAATGACAATATCTATAGTCTATTCACTTTGGCGTAAGACAAAATATAAACAAAGAATCTGAGGTTCTAAAACTTTTATACTGTCAAAAAGTACCCACAGTCAATGATTACGTATAATTTATGTTACCTTTAATTTATTAACAACTTTAAAATTAACAGTACAAATATAACAACAAACTGAACAAATAAAACAAGGAAATAACAAGAATTTAAGAAATATGATAGGATATAACAGGTCGATCGGGAGAGTAAAGATGGCTAACGTAAACCAACCGATTACAAAACACAACACTTCAACGGAAAATACTTATATCATGTCTACTCTTAAATTTAAGTCGTCGTATATAATGCGTCTTAAGTTTGGGAATAATTGTGTTTTTAGGTCCTTTTCCATGTCAACATAAGTTGTTAAAATACTTTTATCAGCAAAATAAAAATATACGAATTTAAGATGAGTATGTACATTAAATATGTGCGAAATACACTCCCGGACACCTAAATCGAGCCACCTTGATTTTTTTTGGTTTGGAGTACTGTAACTTATAAAAGATGTATGTAGAAGGAAAATGTTTTGATGCAGTTTTGGAGCTGGTATACTCATCATTCATTTAGAGTGCCACTGTTCTAAATATGAACCACAGTTCATCAAAAAAGTCGAGTTACGTTGAAACAAGTCCATATTTGCTTTTTTCAAGGAAAAAAATCTAATCGATTTTTAAATAAAGACATGTTTTACATGAAAAGAAATGTTTATTTAGTAACTTATATTGCCTCCCAGTGCATTTATGACATCTCTCATTCGGTTTGGCATAGAATTTATCAATGTCGTTATGACATGCTGAGGAATGTCCTCTCATTCTTCCAAAATTACATATTTGAGCTCCTGCATGGTTTGCGGGGCAGGATGATGAGCTCATCCCATAGATGCTCTATAGGATTCATATCAGGACTTCGCGCTGACCATCTCATAACAGTGATACCAATGTCATTTAAGTACTCCCTGACGATTCCCGCAGTATGGGCCTTTGCATTATCATGCATTAAAACGAAATCTTGGCCAATAAATCCAGAATATGGCATCACGTGGTTCTCTAAACATTGGCGAATGTATCTATTGCCATCTAGGGGCGGCAGTCGTGGTCCCGTCACTACCTCTAGCTCAGTTTTGCCTTCCATAAAGATTCCTCCCCAGACTGTCAATGATCCTCCACCATAACTCACTTTCTCGTCAATACAGCATTGCGCGAAACGCTCGTTCTGTCTTTGGTACACCTTACTCCTTCCGTCATTACCGTATAGCATTATCTTGGACTCATCTGTGAAGAGAACCTGGCTCCATTGATGTCGAGTCCAATTAAGATGTTCGCGCGCAAACTCTAGACGGGCTATTCGATGTGCTCGTGTCAATTTGGGTCCATTGGCTGGCTTATGGGGCTTTAAACCACGTTCATTGAGACGCCTTCTAACGGTCTGAGCACTTACAGCCACTCCGTGAAAGTCCCTGAGCTGTTCTTGTATCTGAACAGAGTTAAGGCGTCGATTTCGTAAGCTAGTAGTGACAATGTATTTATCTTGTCTCGCCGTTGTCACTCGTTAACGAGGTCCTCCTGTTCGCCGAACGAAGCCGCCAGTCTCCAGGTATCGGTGGTACACTCTTTGAACAGCGGAACGACTTATGTGAAGTTGTGAACTCACATCTCGCTGACTTAGCCCAGATTGAAGAAGTGTTACAGCTTGCGTGGCTACTTCAGGTGAAGTATCCATAATTTTATAGCCAAAAACGGTTCAAATTATAGAAAAATAACTAAACTAAACTTTGGTTTACAACAATTGCGAAAATTCAAACCAAACCGACATTAAATTGCTTCAAAAGCAACTTTCAACAGTCATAATTTTTTTCAAATTAGTGACCAAGCTCGGCTTTTGTTCTTTATTTTAAATTCTAAAATTCAAATTTGGAATAATACATACGGGAAAGACGATGAAATATGCCAACATTAAAAATGCATAAAAACTTTTTTGTTATATTTTTTGTGTATTGGGCTTTTAGGCCCGGGAATGTAAGGTGGCTCGATTCAAGAGTCCGGGAGTGTATTTTATTTTCTTTTCATATGTATGTACGAGCTTTTAAAATAATTAACTTAATGTTTCCCTGCGTTTACTATGTAAATAGTATTTTATCTTTCCTTTTGTCAATCGTGACCTTAAAAAGTATCCTTTTTATGGTTTGTTTACATTTTGTCTCACGCCAATATGAATAGACTATAGTCACCGATTCAATTAGAGCACATCAATTTTTATCGATACCATTGACTTTCGATTGTATAGATATTATTGAAAATTTTATACAATATTATCGACAGTGTCGATAAATAGCTTTAAAAAGGATTAAATTTTTGCTATAGCGCAATACCATTAATATGTTTTAAGCTATCTATAGTATTAGCAAAATGTAAGTACACCTATAGCTATTTCAGAGGTCTTATGTATGAAGTTTTTGGCGCGGTTTAGTCGAATGAACATTTAAAATGATCCATAGACAATGACGACATACGCGAATTGACGGAAGAGTAGACCCTTCGGCTCAGTGCTGCCACCTGGTGCACGTCATTCTAGTAAACCCTTAACCCTCATTCCTTTAGAATCGATACTATTGCCATACACAAAAGCAATAATCCTACTAATATTTATTTATTTATTTAATATTATGTTGAAGTTTGTAAATATGATTTTTTTATGTTTGTTACTCAATAACGCAAAAACTACTTAACGGATTTGGATGAAATTTGGTACACATATAGGTTATGACCTGTATTGAGACAAAGGATACTTTTAATCCCGGAAAAATAACAGGTTCCTCTGGGATTCTCAAAAACTAAAGTTAACGCGGGCGAAGTCGCGACCGGCTGCTAGTACCATGGTAAAACAAACTCACCTCCTGGTCTTCCCGCGGTAATGGCATCGTCACTGCATCAGGCACTGGCACGTGGAAGTATGTCGTGTGTGAATTGTTGTGCGCTTGCGCCGCCATCTTGTCCGGATGACAGCGCAAGCGATGCGAGCGGAGCGTCGACGCGTAAGCGAATCGCTCGTCACACCATTTGCATGTGAGCGGTTTGTCGCCGGTGTGAGTGTATAAATGCACCTATTTCCAAAAACAAATCATTTACAGCGATTCGAGTAAGAAATTGGATTTGAGACCTAAATATAGCAAAAAATATATTTAAATGAAAGTTTGTGAGTGTGTATGTTTTTACTTCTTCACGTCTAAACGGCTGGAGCGATTTTAACAAAATTTGGTATGGAGTTTGCTGACACCCTGGGTTAACACATACGCTACGTTTTACTGTGGGAAAATATCTCTAATAAACGGCGGGTAACACCGCGGGGCACAGCTAGTATTTTCAGTCATTGTTTACCGATGAGTCACCAATGACACTAAACGTAACGCGAAATCGTAACACATTCGCCAGTTTACCCCCCCAAGTCAAGCGTGCCTAAAGAAGTTTCACTTCAAACATGTTAATATCAAGTTCCCAATTAGCCCTGATGAAACTGATTGTTTCATTATTATAAATGTATATTATTAACCACATACTTAATATTAAGGCACTAATATTTATATGTAAACAATTAATTTCTTTATACGTAACAAGTGTTTTCTTTTCTATGGCTGTGTTCATAAAAATGAATTTGATAGGCGAATATCATGTTTCAGAAGTGCAACCGTTTAAATTGCTGAAGTATCGGGAGCTCACAACGCGTAAAACATGTGGTAATAATAATAAACATTTATTTCAGACTTTAAATCCATATGTACAAGTGTTAGTAACAGACGAAATCTTATTCTAGTGTTAGTAAATAAAAAAGTACAATCGAACACAAATACAACAAATAAGACATTCGGATTCGATGGGACTCGTCTGTTATTTGGTACACTGCGCTGACACCCTGCCGTCCCAGCTCGAAATACTATGAACTCACTTTTAAGACAGTTGTATTTGAGCCCATGAACCTCTGCATATTTTTCACTCAATGCACCAATCGATGAGCTCAGCAGCACCATATCATCGGCGTAACTAATATTATTAATACAAACACCACAGACGTAGCATCCGATATAGGTACTGCTGAGCTCCTCGATTAGACTGTTCATGTACAGGTTGAAAAGTTTGGGCGAGCTTAACCCCCCCTGTCTCACCCCGCATTGCAACCTGTACCTGTCCGACTGCGAATTAGCTCACCTCACACAATTGCTCTGATTGTCATACCAATATTTAAAAATGGATATTACTTCAGGAGACAGCTTAGTATCACAACACAGTTTTTTCCACAATAGATTGTACGATACTAGGTCGAACGCTTTCGACAAGTCCAAAAAAACAAGCATAGACTGGGTTTTTCTAGCTGTGTAGTACTGTACAGTCTGTTTGAGACAAAAGATGGCACTCTCTGTGGACAGACCCGGCTTAAAACCAAACTGAGCATCGTGACTCCTAATGTGCTCACCTAGTCTTTTATCCAACAGACTATCCAGCACCTTGGCTATAACCGTCGCTAAAGATATAGGTCTGTAATTGGACAAGTTGGAAGCATCTCCCGTTTTGTTTTTTATAATGGGCACTACAAGTGTGTACATCAAATCTTCGGGTAGGTAACAGTGACTCATACAAAGGTTAAAAAACATCGAAAGAACTCTAGTCAAGTGCATCCCTGCGTACTTCAGGTGCTCGATGCTGAGATCATCGTGACCGGGAGACTTACCTCTAACCATTCCCTTGATTGTAGAGGCGACCTCTCGCGCAGAAAATCTAACGGTTAAGTTCCCGACAGGACGACACTCATGCGAGTCCCCCAAAAGGGGAGAATCTACTTTAAAATGCTTTCGGAAGGCATTCGCTATATCAGTCGGTTCATAAATACCATCTACGCTCACAGGAAGACTCTAATTCGGATTCAGTTTTTGGGTATTATTCCAAAACTTTACGAAACTTTTATCAGTGTGATTCTGTGCGATAATATCTAATTTTATTTGATTCTGATGCTTTTGGCAATATTTTAATTTAGCTTTGAAGTATTTTAGTGGCTTTCATGTTATCGTAAAAAGAACCAAAATTAGGTTTTCCATATTGCACCCAAGACTGGTACCAAAACCGAGCCTCCCTATGAGCGGCACTCACGTGTTTATTCCAACTAGTTATGTATTTATGTTTTTTATTTTTCTTTACAATATAGCTACTTGCAGCGGACTCTTTTAGGATACATATAATGTTACGGTACAAATCTGTTATTTTTACTCTGTGGTCGACATCTGAACACATTTTATCTGCACATTTACAAAAATGAGCAGGAAAGTCTATTAAAGTAATTTGCTATTACATGCATCACTATATATTTGTATTTGATAATTAACTCTTTCCCCCCAACGAACTTTATTACAATACGGAGTTGAGGCTACAAGTTTTGACTTGACTTTATTTAAATTGCACTCAATTAACAAAGGATAATGGTCAGACCAATAAACATTATTGCATAAAACCGAAGCATTGTGTACAATGTGTCGCACGGCATCAGTAACCAAACAATGGTCAAGCCATCGGCGAGAACCGTGCGCATCGCTAATATACGTATAGGTATCACTAGGCAAAATTTCCATGTCAACACACGACCACGACTGTTCAGAGCAAAAGTTTAAAAGTTCATGTGAAAATTGCTCACCGGGATGCGCATTGAAGTCCCCGAGTACGAATACTGACTCGATATTGTTCGTCTCACCCAAAGCACTTTTTCACCCATACACTCCGTGAATTCCGTAAGATTCAACGCTGTGTCTGTAGGCATATACACAGAAATCACTAACAGCGACTTACCACTGTCGAGAAAAACTTTAACAGCCGTCAACCGCACACTATGACATTCCACTACTGACACACTCGAGAACACGGACTTCCTCCACAGTAGTGCAACTCCGCCAAACGGCCTCCCTCTGAGTATATCTTTAGATATATCTACCGTAGATTTTCCAGTAAAAGTCGTCATCTATGGTCCCCAGGCATGGCAGATCATGAGGTAAAAGCCACGTTTCTTGTAGAGCAATAATGTCAGCTGTCCGGCACAGACCTCTCAAGCAATCGAACGGTGTAAATTTTTACAGTTAATAATAATAATAACTTTATTGCTTAAAAAACTGTGTACAATTTTGCAGTTGGAATTGCAATAATAACAAAGTCACAACAGTGCGCCCACAACGGGCATGCAATGGTAAAATTTATAACTTAAAACTATCTTAATTTAAAAAGTACATTTTAGAGCCTAAATTATATTAAGTTTTACAAGTATAATATTCATGAAGATTATAAAAAACATTATTTAATAACCAGCTTTTTAATTTAAATTTAAACAGTGGCAAATTGTGTGCTTTAATTTCTGCAGGCAAATGATTGAAGATCCTTATGCTAGTACTGAAAGCGCTATTATAATACAAGTGATTAGTGACTAGGTATGCATATATCATATTTATATTTATTACGCGTATTTAAAAGGTTAAAGTTAATGGAAATGATCTTAGTTGTAGCAGCCATTATTATTGATTAGATTTATTTGGCACCTCCGGTATCTTCTTTTGAAGTCTACAAAACGTCTAAATGCAACCCCTTCCGGCCAAAATTCGTCATGTATAAAAACGGACATTTTGCTTTTTGTGACGAACACTTTATAAGCATCATATTCTTTTGACGTCTTCATATTCATTTTTTCCAAGTCGACCGGCACTTCAGTTTTACCTCTTATGTAACTCATAATATCCGTCTCTGTTACATCCTTCGAAATGTTGTAAATATACAACGGAATCCGTACATCTGCCGCTTTAAAGTTGATATTGAAATCCACAACTGCCTTACCTTTATTACCAATAAATCTGTTTTTAAATCTCTTCTTTTGTACCAAGATCCACTCTTCCTTATTTATTTCTTGTTTCCATTCACCTTGTTCTAAAACTTGAGAATACGATTTTCTATTATTGATACGTTTGTGGTCATTATAGCAGGGCCCGGCCGTCGGTAATACAGTCGCAGGTACTGTTGACGCATGAGTCATAAGGCCTCTCGCCGGCACCGGGTTGTTTACAAATTCAACTACTCTGCTCTCAGCTGATTCGGCACCGTTCAATGGCGGCACTGCGCTAAGCAGCTGTACTGGTGTTGAATTATCTTCATTTCTACCTCCCTCCGTGATCCGTTGATGATAATGGATTTTTGAATTTGGTGAAAGTGATGAGCAGTTACTTAAATGTAAACCTTTTTCATTGCTAATCGGATGCATCGCACTAGGGCCGCTGTTGCATTCGAAACTATCTAATAGGAAGAGCGCCTCTCTTAGGATTTATATATTTGGAGAAGTTATTCACATTAGATGCCTTTTTAAAGTTGTCCATGTCGTGTTTCAGTTGCTACAATTGTTCTGTACTCACATAGCTTCGAGAAATTTTATTGATCTCCTCACCCATTCTTAATAAATCCTTAAGAATCTGGGTTACATCGACGTGATCGAATAGAACCGGTGGTAACTTCTGCAGCTCTCGTGCAACGAAAATGGGTAGCACTTCAGGATCCGTTTCCTTTAAAGTACAGAGGATATCCTCAATATCACGTAAATTCTTCCCATCCCGTTTTCTGTTCTCGCGGCTTCGACAAGGACTCGTACAGTAGCCGTTTTGCAGTCACAATATCACATTCAGAAAACGCAGTAGCACAGATGCGGCTGATGCTTTCCTCATCCATAATATCAATTTTATTACAAATGAAGGCAAGCACTTCATTAATTACAATATTACAAGTTACACACTTCACTGTTTTAGACATTTTGCTATAACGTCAACTCGTTATCCACGACCGTACGCGAGCGCGTGCGACGCGAAAAAAAGATATAGACAAACTGGTAAATATCCCGTTATTATAATATATATTTTTTATAAATGTTAACAAAGTTTTAGTTAGCGAGATTTAAAAAGCAGGGAAATTGATGATTTACCCGACAACTCTCAAATCAAGCACTCACGGTAAGCGGGCGGCCATTGGCATGCTTGAGTCACGATTAGACGAGATTACGTCCGTCTTTTTTCAGGTCCGTGTCGCTATATATCTTTTCCATTATATCTAGTCTGATACTTGAGACAAGTTACTTATATAAACATGTAAGGTCACCCGGGGTAATTGTAGACAAGAATCAAATTTAGCTGTTTCAAATAACTCGTTACTGTTTCGTTTTCAAAATAAGTTACATCTGTGGCTCTGTAGAGTAAACTTTATTGACATATATTTAAATTGATTTCGTTATTAGCACGTAAACTATTATATTTCATATTATATTATTCCGCCATTTTTTCACATGTCAGAGCTAAAAGATAAAGTCAAAAATATTTCCAAAATACTTTTTTAATACTTGTGTAATATATGGAGTTAATTGTATGAGGTAAATTGTATCAATAATGTAATCTAATATATAAAAGTCTCGTGTCGCGGTGTTTGTGGTTAAACTCCTCCGAAACGGCTTTCCCGATTCTCATGAAATTTTGTGTGCATATTGGGTAGGTCTGAGAATCGGATAACATCTATTTTTCATCCGACTAAATGTTAAGGGTAATCCACCCCTAATTTTTTTTTCAATTTTAGATATTTTTTTTTATTTTTTTATGATGCATCATACAAAAATACATACATCCCTAAATTTTCAACTTTCTACCACCAATACCATAAAAAAAAATAAAAAATGTCCCATAAAATAAAAAAAATATGTTACGGGTGGACAACCCTTAACACTTAGGGGTATGAAAAATAGATAGTAGCCGATTCTCAGACCTTCTGAATATGCTTATAAAAATTTCATAAAAATCGGTCAAGCCGTTCCGGAGAAGTATGGTAACTAATATTGTGACACGAGAATTTTATATAGAAGATAAGTTTGACAGAAATTTTTAGTAGCTACAATAGACACGGTTGGCCTTATATAATATAATATTGTTTGAAATCTTACTTTGAGCGTCTGGCGTCTCTTAAACGCCTTGTGGCAGAAAGAGCAAACGTGCCTGCACTTTTCCTCGTGGACTAACAAGTGTTTCCGAAGCGTGCGCCGGCTGTTCAGCACGCGGTTACAAACGTAGCACTGATACGACGTGTCTTCATGCGTGTCCATGTGCGTTTTAAGATTAGAATGAGTTTTGAAACTGCAATAAAAAAATAAAAACTTATATTCTTATGTTATACAAAGCTATACTACTATATTAACTGTATTTGATATGCTGGCGCAGTTTCCCGTTTGTACCACACGCGTATCCGCACAGTACCCCTAGTATGAGTTTTAATCGTATTGTCTCGTTTCCATACATTGACTAGCAGCGCCCCTAGCGTTAACTATCAAAAACAAAAATCAGCAGTATGAGTTTCATCGAGTCATCGTAAAACGAAAACTACCAAAGTTTTCATATGTCGTTTGCATTTTGGCAGTACAAGTTACAACTTTGACAGCGCGTCATGATACGATACTACGACGTTTGATCGTATCGTCACTCAATTAGAAACTTTCAGTGACAATATTTAGCTCTCATGCTCGCTGAAGACATTGACGAAGACCAGCGTGCACAGGAACGACGGGAATTATTACAGCGGAGGCGATTAACTTCTTTTATCACCGACAGGCATTTTGTGCAAAGTATAAATATATATTTGATGTGTAACATCTTTCCTCTCGCTTTCCTGCAATTTGTGGGCTTTCCTGCCCTTCGAAATGGGACGTAAGTGTGTAACAGGAAGTAGCGAAAGCGCGCACTATTTGATTTGATTTTAGAACATAATGTTCAAATGGCTTATTCCTTTTGTAGTAGTTTTTTTTTACCCGGCTGCGCAATGCAAGAGCGCGAAGCGCGACGCGCAGACAGGGTATTGTGTTTAACAGTCTATATATGTATGTTTGTTCCTTTGTGGCACACTAGAGGCCAAACGCCTGGACCGATTTTGATGATTTATACATCAATCGATTCGTCTCAATCATGGGAGTGCTACTAAAGATATGATAGTAATCAAAATTCAATGTGGACAAAATTAGGCGCCATATTGTGGCGAAGTAAAAAAAATAAGTTGACAAAATATGTCGAGTGGGGTATCACTGTCTAGATAATCGAAAATCATGTTTAGGTTCCTAACACCATTTTTCATTTTATTTGATTGTTTAGGATCTACAACGATTTAAAGTTGCATATTAGGGACTTGCGCTTTGAATTTCAATCTTACGTTTGTATAGGGGATCTTTGTTACTCTTTCACCCAAAAAATAGTGAATGGATTTTAATGCAACTTAACAACAATATAGCTCATACATAATAATAACACATAGATTATAATTTTTGTAGCTTTTGAGTGAATAGGCCAAAATATAACAATAAGTGTCACGTAAGGCGGAAAAAAACCTCCCATCTGCGAGCCATTTCAGCCTGTACTGCAAAAACAGTAAAAGTTACATGAATATAATGTATGGTGAAAATGTATCTCTTAAATAGTTCTACAAAAAAGTCTGCGACAGGATATATCTATTTTTAATGTGTAAACCATTATCGCTAAAACAGTGAAACAAAAATAAAATATTATTTGATATCCATTTCCAAAATGCACATTTTGGATTAAAAAAATAGTTTTGTAATAAAATAAATACTTTTATCGCTTTTGAAATTGAAAGACGTTAAACTTAGCCTTTTACACTATGTCATTTCGACAAATATTTAAAAAGTTACAACGATGTCAAAATGATAGCGCGGTGTACTGCAGGAGTAGATTGCGGGGATGGTGGGAGAACAAAATGTAAATGAATTTTGGTGTTTATAAAACTTTATAGCTATAGATCAGCTTCTTACATAAGTAATGTTATTTATTTATCATAATATAATTCTCAAAATTAATGAAAAACCTGACTTTTTGTGTCTTGTACTATAATGTTAATGTCGAACAGTTAAACAGTTCTAGCCACTCAGCACCAGATACGCTGCTATCAGCTCGACTACATTATTGTGAGCAAGATTAATTAGTTCGTTGGTTTTAAAAAATAAGCTACCTAGTGTACGACACAAGTAATATTATTCGTAGTAAATACTTTCGTCTGATTAAAAATATTTCGCAGTTTATTTATTCAGATGTTCGTCTCTCGTTTTGCTAGTTCTAGCTATTCAACACCAGGGGCGCTAATGCAATGAATCAATACAGGAAATATCAAGCTTAAATTCACAATTACATAGTTGGATTTCGAAAATTTTGAAAAGGTGTATTCATTAAATTTTTTTTAATCATATGAACCTAACTGCTAGGTTTATAAATATAAAAAAATTTGGTCGAGGCATCAGGAAAGTATTTCGTTTAACATTGTAGGTTACCTACAACGCGAAGTGATGGCGCTGCCTTGCAGACTAGAAAATCTATAAGAATTACTATTTATTAAATATATCTTGCTACAGAGCAAGATGTATTTAATTAATTGACTAAAATTAAAAGTATTTGGGAAATCTAAAGATGTTTTTTTCTAAAAAATGTTCCGATTCCAAGTTCGGTTCTTAGGCAGCGCCATCTCTTCGCATCGAAGAGCAATTATTGCTGCTAGCTTCGCATTGTTAGTTACTAAAGTAAAAACGAAATAATTTACCAAGTATTAAACATTTGAAAGAAGAAATAGCAAATTTATCTACTTTATTATACTTTTATTTTAAGCTGAACTACTAGATTTGTAAATCTAAAGAAAATTACTTTAACTATTATGATGATCACATCGCTATCTAGTGAAGAATAGCAAAACTTTTGTTTGCGTCCATAACGCTCATTGGTAGCTTGCTTTTTTTAGTTTCCTCACTAGCTACGTTGGCGCTGTTGTCATCTCGTAACGCTCCCAGGTATCACTCTTTAAGTGATTTCAAATGCTATAAAACACTTTTTTATACTGACGGCTACTTAAATAAACTAAGAATAAATCAATTGGTATTTTATACCATTGAAAATTATGCACACTGGGCTGAAACGACGGAGCCGCAGGCGTAAGCGGGTGAGAGGTGCGGAGAGGTGGGGGTGGTTTTCGGTCGTTTACAGAGTGAGCGACTAAAATCATACCAGTTGGTACTAGGCAGTTACCTGAGGCTGAGTCTTTATGACGTGGCCGATTATTGTTAAAAAAGTTTTCTGTTAATTTCTAATAGTTGGGTTTCTGCTTAAAAAGTTTCTGTTTACTCACAGTTTTTGTTTCAAGTTGGTTTTAAGTACTAAGTTATTACTTTAAGATTTATTGTTTCTATTTTATTTGGAAAGGTTTGCTTAAATCTCGTTAGTTGGATTGTCGGTTGACAAACCAGGTTTGTTGGTTTTTCGAGTTGGTGTATTTTGGTTTTTTAAATTTCGTGTTAAGGTTCGACATTATTGTTTTGTTGTGTTTACCTACTTACGTGAAGAGTTGGTTAGTGTTTTAGGTTGGTTTTAGGTACTAAGCTATTAATTTAGAATAATTGTTTCTATTTAGTTTGGAAAGGTATTCGTTGTGTCGCTCTGTTTTATATTTATAACAAAAATAATAATAGTTAATTTGTTGATTTCGTTACTTGGTTGATTGATTGTTTAGGTTTATTGGTTATTCTAGTTAGTTGGTTGATTTGTCAATAGTTTTGTTAGTACTGAAGTACTAACGTTATGGTGTCCAAATACCTAGGTACCTAAAATTGTATGTATTTTAAATAGGTTTTAGGTGGCAAAAGATTATTTTAGGATTGTTGTTTGTTATTTACTCATTTGTTCTTATTTTGTTTATGTAGCTACTTTCGTAGTAATCTCCCTGTCTATATAAATAAATAATAATAATTGATAGAAAAAAATACAGTCGAATACAGAACCTTTGCTTTTTTGAAGTCGGTTAAAAAGGGCTTCTAAATTTACAAAAAAAATATAGTTATTTTATTACTAGATACATATTGCCTTTTCGTGTAGTTTTAAGCTGATTATGTGTACTAATTTTATTAAGGGGTAATTATTATTTAATCAAGTTACCAATTCTGAGTTTAGTTTGGAACTTTAGCAGGTTAATTTGTTAGATCGTCGGTTTGTTCCGGTTTAAACTACTATTTCGTAATTCATTACCTACATTTTTAAAACCATACAAATAATTATTTCATTAGAAACGTAGTTAAGTATTTCGTTAGTACATATTTAAATTATCTATTTACTACAGTAATAGTATTTCTTTGCTAGTGCCCAATTCAGCATATACGTTGTTATTTGTTTCGTACGAGTATTGCAGTACCTATTATATAACGCACAATGCCACCTGTTAGGAAACGTTCTCGATCGCGTGCAAATCTTTATCGCAAAACTAAAAAAGCTCGACAAGAAAGTGCACGTCGCAAAACTCAGTCTCCGGCATCGCGACAGAAACGATTGCAAGGTGTTAAAAATCAAATTTGTCTTAGTTATAACAGCCAATCACCCACAAAAAAGAAAATACTACTCTATAAAACTGCGAAAAGAATGGCTGAGTACCGTAGTAATCGGGAGTCTAATCAAAGTCGAATTAATAGACTTATTAAACAAAAAAATCAAACAGCGAAAATTCGTGCACTGGAATCACCAACGACACGATCTCTTAGATTGTCGTCTTTGAGTAATCATGCGTCTCAATTACGGGACGACGAATCGCCCACAACGCGAACCCAACGATTATCGGCTATGAGAACACATGCGTCTCAGTTACGTGACAATGAATCACCAATATCTAGATGTCATAGAATTACACGCTTAAGGAGGAACTCTTGTCTACGTTATCGGCGACAACTTTTCTCGGTTGACTCAGTATTTATTGATTCTATATCACAAATTGCCAATCACCTATGCTACATTTGCAACAGAGTATGTTATCGAAATCAAACAAGGTCTATTTCAAAAAACCAGTCGAATGTTTTACCAGTTGAAAGTCCAAGTCAATTCATTTCCTGTAATCGATGCGCAGTAAGCTTATTGAAAAATAAAATACCACCAAATGCATTTTGGAATAATATGACGGTATGTTCTATTCCGCCTGAACTGGAATGTTTGAGTGAAATGGAAATACGTTTGGTTTCAAGAATAAAACCATTTCTGAAAGTTGTTCGATTGGGCGGCAGATTTGGGCAACAAGGTTTTAAGGGCCAGGCAGTTCTTTTTGCCCAGCAAGT